TGACTTTTCAGTAACATTAAATATTTTGCAATATTTGATGATGAAAATGAAGGTTTTTTAAATTGTTGTGCAGACAGTGCGTACATATTTTATAGTATCAGTACATTAACATATAAAATCATTATTTTTCGACTAGAGTCATTTGCAATCGCGTATGGACGTTTTGGCAAACGGTAGAGTGGAAATGACTGATACGGGTACATGTGGTACCCAATATATATGTACATGCATAGCTACGTGTTTGTAACGTCTAAGAGTTTTTATCGTGCCATATGGAAAATATATTTCGCTCAATCTGTTGACAAGAAGTTGAATTTTATATTTTGTAGTCTGCAAGCGCCGCATTGATATTGGGTTCCTCATCGAAGTCTCTTCGCGTGTTGGACGTCGTAACATTCCTTACATCCGACGATTTGTTAGTAAGATCGTTAAAGGTTTCAAAATCTCACATCGGTACGTACGTGTTGGAGTGGTAATCCATTCCTCAAGTAGCCGAAGACTTATTGGTTTTGGTCAATCTCGAAGTGTTGGACATGTTTTGAGAATCATGAAGAGAATCAGATATCTTGGAGGGGTATCTTATACTGGAAGAGCCCTTTATTACGTTAATAAATATCTGTTTTCTGGAAGACCACAGTGTGGAAAGAAGAGGGTTTTGATCGTGATTTCCAGTAGTGTTTCACGGGACAGTGTTGTTCGACCAGCAAAGAAACTACGTTCGGTTGGTGTTGAGACCTTTGTAATTGTCACAAATGTAAGAGCATACCGCAGTCTTCGAGTGATTGCCACTACTAGAAGACACGTTACTATCACGTCATATCGTTCTGTGGTCAGAATTGTGCGTCGCTTGGCGATAAGGATTTGCAAATCTCCAATAGGTTAGTTGAACGGTTTCCAAGTCATGCGATTGTGACCTCGTGTTGTAGTGAAAGTTATCCGTCGATCGTTAAGCGATGAGGATGCAAAGCTTTTAAAGTGCATATGAAGCCTTTTATTTTTAACAAAAGGCAAATAGGATGCTAAACATTGTTTCAAAGAAAAAAGAATAGTTTAGAAATTTATTTTCTGAGTTAAGTAGTGTATTTGAAAATTTAAAATGTTAATGAAGCGACGTCAGGGTAGGCTTTATTAGAAATACGATCTTTAGAATAAATGTTTTGATGAACGCCATCTGGGAATATGGTTATTCCACACATTGGATAAGATAAATTTCATGTCATGAAACCATTTTTAAGCGACTCCTTCAAAGTTCGTATATCTAATGAGGACTCCCTTGACGTCACATCATTAGCATTTTCAATTTTTAAATTCCTTCAACTAAAAAAAAAATTCAAACATAATAATTACATTTCAAAATGACCCTAAAATTAAGTACATAGGTATAAGTTTAGGCTAATAGATATATTAAAAAAGAAAATAATTGATATGGTCAAAAATAACTGCAACRATCTATCTTTAATCTAGATAAAAGAGGCATCTAGAATTGGCGCCTAGAATAAGAATCGACTTTGCACGCAGTAATTTTCAGCAGTACTTACTCCATTCTCCAATAAATGTCTTATGTTGCAGTTGTAGTACATAAAGGTGCAGTTGCCTTGTATAAGATGACAAGTGCAACTGGACGACGTGATTCAAGCAGAAACAGGAATTCACCCGCCACGTTTGTAGGCGTTAAATACGCCACTGGACCAGATCGTCATACACGAGGTGCAATTCGGTTTAGCGGAAGACGTAACAGTTACGTGTTGATTCCTAACAACGGCTGTCTTGACACGCAATATTCGATCACAATCTGTGGATGGGTGTATCCTGAAAGCGCAGGTCCTATNTAGTGATAGGTTCGAAGCCTGGTGATCGTCGATATTTCCGTGGACGCATTGCTTGTGTTCAACTATATCGTAGAGCATTAAGTCAACGTGAGATAAGAATGAGAATGAAGAAGTGCTTCCGAGGTAATATTTGTGGACGTAGTTAATATCGGACTTGACGCATTAATTTTAATTCGTTCTAACTTTTGTTTCTTTCAGTTCCTCCTCCTATACCTCCACCTATTCCAGGTAGGTTGAATATTTGTAATGCAAACTATAATTTGGCTACACAGATAGTTAACTATTTTTCTGCTTTATGCGCTTTTAAAAAATCTGAAGAATCTAACAAAGTCCGCCGGGTTTTGGGTTTTCCTCTGATTTGATACACTGTTTTCGTCATAAAATGTTCAAAACTCAAGTGGAGTAGTTGTTTTCCAAACCCAGAAGTATGATCGGGGTCTTCGAGAACTCTCCGAAGTGTAAGCCCTGTTAAGTAACACTACTGATTCTGATGGATGTCCTTACAAATCATCAGTTACTTCGACTTTTGTACTTCCAAAACTCAATTCGTTTGGAGATGTTAAGATGCACCTTGCTAACGTAAGTTTAAGTATACGCTGCAGCTCGATACAAGAAGTTCGTACATAAAAAGATACGCCTCGTAGACTTTTCACTAAAGCCTGACTATGATGGAATAGAAAAATGGTTGCATTTAGCAAGTACTGATGCACTAAAGTACATGAAATCACAACGCCAATTTTATATTGATGAAGAGAAGAACACATTCTTGCTTGCCAAGTCATTGTGAARAACTAGATTTCAAAATATCGCAACATTGCATACCTCTCCAACACGAAACAACATTAGTCTCATGGGCAGGAGTAAACCGTGAATACGGTTTCTAGTTCTGAACAAGAGTGCTTCCCATTAGTCGAAGGTACTGAAGGTCTGAAACAGAGACTTGAAATGTGATATCGTCAGTACAGCAAAACGAGGAGAATTTGATGATAATCGTATAGCTATGTTTCGAATTGGATATAAAATGAAGTTTAAAAATACCGATTTGCTTTAACCCTGGTCGGTGATTTATGAGTGGTAAAACACGGGGTAGATGTGAACATCGCAAAGAGCGATACGATAGAACTATATAAAAATCTGATTTATTTATTGGAAATATTCTTCAAACATTCAATTGTCTTTTCTAGTGATTTGAGTGATCCATTTGTAAATAGTGTTTAATTTTAAGATGTAATGTTTATGCACAGTACTTCATACCTAAACGTCGTTGTTATTTTTGTGCACACGAGTTCTTGTAAGTGCAATGGATTTTCTCTATTTCAGTTTGCAAACGCCGCATTGATATTGGGTTCCTCATCGAAGTCTCTTCGCGTGTTGGACGTCGTAACATCGTTTACATCCGCCGCTTTGTTAGTAAGATCGTTAAAGGTTTCAAAATCTCACTTCGGTACGTACGTGTTGGAGTGGTAATCCATTCCTCAAGTAGCCGAAGACTTATTGGTTTTGGTCAATCTCGAAGTGYTGGACATGTTTTGAGAATCATGAATAGAATCAGATATCTTGGAGGGGTATCTTACACTGGAAGAGCCCTTTATTACGTTAAGAAATATCTGTTTTCTGGAAGACCACAGTGTGGAAAGAAGAGGGTTTTGATCGTGATTTCAAGTAGTGTTTCAAGGGACAGTGTTGTACGACCAGCAATGAAACTACGTTCGGTTGGTGTTGAGACCTTTGTAATTGTCACAAATGTAAGAGCATACCGCAGTCTTCGAGTGATTGCCACTACTAGAAGTCACGTGACTTTCACGTCATATCGTTCTGTGGTCAGAATTGTGCGTCGCTTGGCGATCAGGATTTGTAAATCTCCAATAGGTGAGTTTAACATTTACCTTTTTTACTGAAGTATATTTGAATAATCTATTTTTTGTACTAAGAAAAGTGAGTAGTAAACACAACCGACAATAAAGAATACAGTACGATGCTGCGAGTATYTCTAGTTTAAAAACACGTATTTGTTCTGTGCTGCTTTACAGTAAATTTTATTTTACATTTGTGTTTGGCCATCTTTTTTCCTTAAATACTTCTCACAATTTTGTAGATGGAAAGCTTGATGCACTGTCATTTTGGCAATTTTATATTCTATGATTCCGTTTAATCTTTTTTTCTATAGAATTTTTTTCTTGCAAGATTCATTTGAAGACAACAAATAAATGATTCTCAAACATTTCTGGTCGACAGTTTCTTTTTGTCACAAAAACTGCACACAGGAGAATCGATTTTATAAAACAAAATAGTTTTTTTAGTCTTTCAAATATAGTACAATATGACAATTTTGTATTGGAATACTCTCAGTTTAACTTGATTTGTTGTTTTGTAATTTCGACAATAAATCTCTGCACATTCAGTTAAAACGGGTCCAGATGTAACCATGACAACAAACACGACTCTACATGCAAAGCTTAATGACCTTAGTGAGACCACATAAATCCAACACATGCGCATGTAAGGTCTTCTGGACCAGTTTTCCCCGACAAACAGTTCAGCGAAGCGAGCTAGAGTGGTCTGATTTTGGACTATTCTATCCCCTTGTGCCTTTTGCTCATAAAAATATGTTTACGAAATTATAAATGTTTGTGTATGTGCCATGTATGCAAGATCAGTTGTTCAATTGTTTTTGTAGCTATCGTACAAMGAGGTGCTGTGGCTAAATACCATTTCACAAGTGCATATGGAACACGTGATTCCAGCAGAAACGGCAATCCAGCTGCCAAGTTTTTTGGCGTTCGGTACTCGCGCGGCCCAGATGGTCATCCACGAGGTGCAATTCGGTTTAGCGGAAGACGTAACAGTTACGTGTTGATTCCTAACAACGGCTGTCTTGACACGCAATATTCGATCACAATCTGTGGATGGGTGTATCCTGAAAGCGCAGGTCCTATCTTCCACTACAACCCACGTCATTGGGGCTTGCATGTGTGGATGACAAGAGCTGACGAATTCTTTGTGCGATTTGTTGGTCGTAATAATAGACGAAGTCCATACCTGAAAAGANCTGAAAAGACGAGGATTTCCACGACGAAAGTGGACTTACTTCTGCACGACTTACGACAGTCGATCTGGAATTGCAACGATTTGGCAGAACTCTCGTCTAGTAGTGCGCAGGAATATCGGTCGATTCAAGTATGGTCTCGCCACGAACTATCCAATAGTGATTGGTGCCAAGCCTGGTGATCGTCGATATTTCCGTGGACGCATCTCTTGTCTTCAAGTATATCGCAGAGTATTGAATGGACGTGAGATAAGAATGCGAATGAAGACTTGTTTCCGCCCATCACCACCACCAAGAGGTATTATTCAATATTGCATTGAATTGCATTTAACATGGTTGTGTATTCTCTTGAGTAAATGTACTTTTCTTAATTTTAAAAACATTATTCTATTTTCTTTTATAGTGTGTAAACGACGCGTTGACCTTGGTTTCGTCATCGACGTCTCTTCATCGGTTGGCCGTCGTAATATACGAAACATACGCCTTTTTGTGTGGGACATGATTCGACGTTTTGTCATCTCATATAGACGTACACGCATTGGAATAATTGTGTACTCATCTATAGCAAGACGAATCCTCAGTTTTAATCAAATACTGAAACCGCGACACCTGAAACGCTTGCTGCTAAGAGTTAGGTATTGGGGTGGACATCGGTACACTGGCAGAGCTCTCTTGTATGCAAGAAGATATCTGTTTCCAGGAAATCCAAGATGCGGAAGAAAGAGGGTTGTGATTGTACTTACGAGTGGAAGATCCAGAGATGGGGTGCTTAACCCTGCCAGGAGCTTGGCCGGAAAAGGTGTTGAGTTATTTGTGGTCCTTTCATCAAGACACGCCGCACGACAAATGCGTGCAATTACAACTACAAGACAACACTTATACATTTCATCCTACAACAATCTGGTTCGCATTACAGACAAATTAAGGAACAAGATTTGTGTTACTCCACAAGGTATATTTATATGAAATGTGCATATTCTGTAGATATTATATACATTTTGTTAAATAGTTGTGATCATTGGGAAACAGTGAATCGGAGACCAATAAGTATTAATATGAAATTTGAATTAGCAAAACAACACATACGAGCGTTTTCTTGGACGATAGTAAGCATTTGTTATCTGTCTCTTAAACAAATGTGATGGTTCGTTGGTTCGTTTTAACAAAAAATTAGCCGTGCTTCTGCTATCCACAGAAAAATACCTCATTTAACGGATAAAATCCGTCCATAAAATGCTGAATAATTTTTTTGTGCAACCGCCCAAGATCGATATAATATATTGCTAATCGCTTCTTTTTTGCAGTTGCTGTTAAGTACCGACCTGTTGTTTTCTATAAATTTACAAGTGAAACTGCCAGACGTGACTCAAGTAGAAACAAAAATCCTAAGGCCATTTTCTCGAACGTACTATACAAAGCTGGTCCTGATAAGCATCCACAAGGTTCCTTGTCTTTTAGTGGTCGACGAAACAGCTATGTGTATATTCCAAACAGTGGTTGTCTTGATACTCGATCTTCGATCACAATCCTTGGATGGGTGTATCCAGATCGTCCTGGTCCTATTTTCCATTTCAATCCACGATCATGGGGCTTGCATGTCTGGATGACAACAGCAGAAACGTTGTTTGCGCGATTCGTGGGACGCAGAGGAAAACCAAGTCCATACTTGGTAAAACGAGGATTTAAACGACTGAAGTGGAACTATTTTAGCGTGACTTACAATCATAAAACTGGAGTGGCAATGCTTTGGCGAAACTCACACCCAATATTGCGTAGAAATATCGGTCGATTTAGATGGGGTCTCGCTACGAATCATCCAGTAGTGATAGGTGCGAAGCCGGGTGATCGTCGATATTTCCGTGGACGCATTGCTTGTTTGCAAGTTTTTGGTTATGCACTGAATGCACGTGAAATAAGGATGCGAATGAAGAAATGCTTTAGAGGTAAATGTTTTCCCTTTTCTTAGCACTTTAACGGTCCGGCAATATTTCAGTCATAAATAGAAAAGTTTTATAATGAGATTGTCACTTGGTAATGACTGAAATGACAGTGACATATTTTATAGTCGACGGAATAAAAAGAAAAGAAAAAAAGCCCGGCTCAGACAGAAAAGAAAAATATCTTGTATTAATGTTTTTGTTCTTCTCTATCTTAGTTCCACCACCTACACCACCACCGCCGCCACCAATTCCAGGTAGGATATTTCTGCCAAAAGTTAGTTTAGTTCTTGTAGACCTATTCTAATATTATAACAATTAAGTTAAAGTTCGAAGTCGAAAATGTGTTTTTGCTCTTGGATCTCTGCGAGTTCATTCAGATTGTGGAGCATAAAGACAAGAAAGTCTTTGAACCGACAGGTCCTAACCTGATATATTTTCAACTTTTAATCGACATCTGAAAGAATTAATGCAAATATTCCGTCGATACATTTCACAAGGCCACAGAAAACACCATATTGATCATTCCAAGCCCGACCATGTTTAATACTGAAACCAGCGCTCTTTTCAAACAACCACCGTCGCCAGAAGCAGAACTGTACAAAGAAGCTCTTCTTTTTATTGGCAATTTCGCAATATTAAATATAAATCCAGATGCGTATTTTAAGTTCAGCAAAAAGGATAAAGTATATTATCCCGCTGGTTTACCTGTAACGTTAAGATTAGACAGAGCGACATAGAGTATTTTAGATGACCTCTCCTTTGTCAGTTATGTATCTCAGTTGGGCGATAATTACCAGTTAACTGCCTTTTAGCGCTCTGTTTTACCCTGTGTTGGCCTCAAGACTATGTAATTCTTTTATCCACTAACAGCCTGTGAAAATATAAGAGATCCGTGAGTATAGAAGACAATGGAAACAGTTTTAAATCTCACTAGTTTTTTATCTAAGTTTCTGGATATTTTGCTCATAAATAAGGCTAACGCAGTGTAAAATAGATCGCGAAACTCAACTATAGGTAGATGCCTATGTAAATCTGTTATGTAGATTATTCAGTAAAAATTTTCGCATTATTTCTTTCAGTTTGCAAACGCCGTGTTGATATTGGGTTCCTCATCGAAGTCTCTTCGCGTGTTGGACGTCGAACCATTCCTTACATCCGACGCTTTGTTAAATACATCATTCAAGGATTCAAAATCTCACATCGGCACATACGTGTTGGCGTGGTAATATATTCCTCAAGTAGCCGAAGAATTATTAGTTTTACTCAATCTAGAAGTCGTGCACATGTGTTTGGAATTATTCACAAGATCAGATATCTTGGAGGGWAAWCTTACACTGGAAGAGCCCTTTATTACGTTAAGAAATATCTGTTTTCTGGAAGACCACAGTGTGGAAAGAAGAGGGTTTTGATCGTGATTTCYAGTAGTGTTTCACGGGACCGTATTGTACGACCAGCAAAGAAACTACGTTCGGTTGGTGTTGAGACATTTGTAATTGTGACAAATGTAAGAGCATACCGCACTCTTCGAGTGATTGCCACTACTAGAACACACGTGATTATGGCGTCTTACCGAACAATCGTGAAAATTGTACGTCGTTTAGCGATCAGGATTTGTAAATCTCCGCCAGGTAAGTTTCAGTTAATCTTGTCTTTTATTATCTTTGCTTGTATATAATTAATCTACGGCAAATATACGTTTTGCTTTAAACAACTTCTTCAAAAGAAGTTGGCTGCAAACTAGTAACGCAACCATACTTCGAGGGAATACTGAAAACCGAGACTGAAAGGGATGTTGGAACGAAAAATCTTTAAAATAATTTKATTTGTTATTATGTGTTAATCCTGTACACTGTTTTTTCAATAAGGCGAATATTTAGGCACGAAGCCCGAATGGGGTTCGGTTCAATAGACTACRAGACCGAAGGTCGTGCAGGCTATTGAACGTATTCCATGAGGGCGAGAGGTCTAATAGTTTTAGTATCCAACAACCATTTTATTCAGTTTTAAACTCATCAACATTAGATGAGCTTGGCGTTAGGTGCTTGGTTGACAAATTTGCGTTGGTTGGAATGGTATCGGTAACATGGTAACCCTGTCATCACCAACCAAGCACCTGTCACACTGACGCTTCTCAGTGGAATACGTACCTGAACCAAAGAAGGAGAGGGCGGGAGGGAACAAGTTTGCATTCAGCGTAACGTTAGCGTTTGCGTGGAGCGAATAGCGACATTCGTTGCAATTAACTCGTCCTTACAAACTGAACATGATAGTCATCTCAACTGAAGAATCGTAATGCGTATGGCTAGCCCTGCCATGGCATGGCAAAGCGTTGATAGTGCGCTTATTAATCTATTAACAACGTTGCATGATACGCACCAATGTGTTTAACTTGCTTAAATGTGTTTAACTTGCTTAAATCTTTTATTTAACCCCATTTCTAGATTTTGAGAAACAAAATATTTTAATTTTTGGCGAATTCAGTAAAAAAAAAATACAAAGCACTCAAGACTCGATAAAACTTATCACTAATCAAATGGAGAAAAAAAAATACACAAAAAACCCATAGATAGAACAATTTATAAAATACTATAACTTAAATACCTTCATAGTTGTATAATACTTTTAAAAGCTTGTCAAGTTTTCATCTTCGTTTGTAAACAAGAATGCGAGTAGACGGTTGCGAGTTGAACATTGGAACCTCGTTTCTTGAGGCAAAATAGAGCTGTTCGCTTGTCATTTTTTCGTGAAAATGCCCCACCAGAACAAATTTTAGGATGAATATATTAAATGTTTCTGTATTTGAGTTTTCCCAGCTAGTTTTTAATTGAAAATATCATTATCCACAAGTAAGCTTTCTTTCTAAGTAAACTTGAAGTAGAACTGATGCTTGACAAGTACTATGGCCTTCACTCGCTTGTTCAAATGAGTCTCAAAATCAGAATTTAAACTTCTTTTCAATTCTTTAGTAACAACTCTCAAAGTCTTCATTTTATAGGCGATATTTCTTATCGAGATAAGGGTTGAAAACTGTAGAAATTTTAAGAATTGAGGTCTTAGTTTGGCTGCAAGTTTGCACTTCGGCCAACCATCGTTGGARAATCGCTCTGAAAAACCAGTTTGAACCCGTTTGTCAGTAAACGTACTAAAAATCCATTCGAGTGCTACAAAACAAAAATATTGATGGTTTTTTAGATAATAAAAAGTAATAATTTACGAGCGCTCTTTTATTTTCTCCAACCACGGGCGGCTATCACCCAGTAGACCATGGTTGAAGAGCCAATGAGAGCGCGCTATTTGTGATATACCATAAGTTGTTGGATACTGAATATATTTATTGATTACTATATCTATAATAACCACTGCTGTTTACTTATAGCTGTTGTACGTAGAGGTGCTGTAGCAATATATCAATTAACAAGTGCAACTGGACGACGTGATTCAAGCAGAAACAAGAATTCACCCGCCACGTTTGTGGGCGTCAAATACGCCACTGGACCAGATCGTCATAAACACGGTGCAATTCGGTTTAGCGGAAGACGTAACAGTTACGTGTTGATTCCTAACAACGGCTGTCTTGACACACAATATTCGATCACAATCTGTGGATGGGTGTATCCTGAAAGCGCAGGTCCTATCTTCCACTACAACCCACGTCATTGGGGCTTGCATGTGTGGATGACAAGAGCTGACGAATTCTTTGTGCGATTTGTTGGTCGTAATAATAGACGAAGTCCATACCTGAAAAGACGAGGATTTCCACGACGAAAGTGGACTTACTTCTGCACGACTTACGACAGTCGATCTGGAATTGCAACGATTTGGCAGAACTCTCGTCTAGTAGTGCGCAGGAATATCGGTCGATTCAAGTATGGTCTCGCCACGAACTATCCAATAGTGATTGGTGCCAAGCCTGGTGATCGTCGATATTTCCGTGGACGCATCTCTTGTCTTCAAGTATATCGCAGAGTATTGAATGGACGTGAGATAAGAATGCGAATGAAGACTTGTTTCCGCCCAGCTCCCCCTCCGAAAGGTAATTGTGAGACAGTTTATCAAAGTAGACGTTTTGACTGCGCAACAGCACGGACGACTGCACCAAACTATTGCTCTGCCTTCTATCTCTGCTCTACCTATATCTATGGCACTTATTGAGTAGAAGCTTATCGTCTTTCCGGTTTTCAGTGTTTCTTGTTTCATTATGTGATTGTATGGTTTATCAATTTAATTAGATATCGAAATTTGTTGATATTTTCTA